ATATAGTATACTTGGATTTTCAGAAAGCCTTTGACAAGGTCCCTCACCAAAGGCTCTTGTGTAAATTACATGGCCATGGGATAAGAGGGAAGGTCCTTTCTTGGATTGAGAACTGGCTAAAAGACAGGAAACAAAGGGTAGGAATAAATGGTAAATTTTCAGATTGGAGAGGGGTAACTAGTGGTGTACCCCAAGGGTCAGTCCTGGGACCAATCCTTTTCAACTTATTCATAAATGATCTGGAGAAAGGGGTAAGCAGTGAGGTAGTAAAGTTTGCAGATGATACCAAACTGTTTAGGATAGTCAAGACAGAAGCAGACTGTGAGGGACTCCAAGAAGATCTCACCAAACTGAGTGATTGGGCAACAAAATGGCAAATGAAATTTAATGTGGATAAGTGTAAAGTAATGCACATCGGGAAAAATAACCCCAACTATACGTACAGTATGATGGGGGCTAATTTGGCTACGACAAATCAGGAAAGAGATCTTGGAGTTATCGTGGACAGTTCTCTGAAAACTTCCACACAGTGTGCAGCGGCGGTCAAAAAGGCAAATAGGATGCTAGGAATTATTAGGAAAGGGACAGAAAATAAGACAGAATATCTTACTGCCCCTGTATAAAACTATGGTACGCCCACATCTTGAATACTGTGTACAGATGTGGTCTCCTCACCTCAAAAAAGATATTTTGGCCTTGGAAAGGGTTCAGAAAAGGGCAACTAAAATGATTAGGGGTTTGGAACGGGTCCCATATGAGGAGAGGTTAAAGCGACTGGGACTTTTCAGTTTAGAAAAGAGGAGACTGAGGGGGGATATGATAGAGGTCTATAAAATCATGAGTGGTGTGGAGAGGGCTGATAAAGAAAAGTTATTTATTAGTTCCCATAATAGAAGAACTAGAGGACACCAAATGAAATTAATGGATAGCAGGTTTAAAACTAATAAAAGGAAGTTCTTCTTCACACAGCGTGTTGTCAACCTGTGGAACTCCTTGCCAGAGGAGGCTGTGAAGGCTAGGACTATAATAGAGTTTAAAGAGAAGCTGGATAAATTCATGGAGGTTAGGTCCATAAAAGGCTATTAGCCAGGGGATAAAATGGTGTCCTTGGCCTCTGTTTGTCAGAGGCTGGAGAGGGATGGCAGGAGACAAATCGCTTGATCACTGTCTTCGGTCCACCCTCTCTGGGGCACCAGGTGCTGGCCACTGTCGGTAGACAGGATACTGGGCTAGATGGACCTTTCTTCACACAGCGTGTTGTCAATCTGTGGAACTCCTTGCCAGAGGAGGCTGTGAAGGCTAGGACTATAATAGAGTTTAAAGAGAAGCTGGATAAATTCATGGAGGTTAGGTCCATAAAAGGCTATTAGCCAGGGGATAAAATGGTGTCCTTGGCCTCTGTTTGTCAGAGGCTGGAGAGGGATGGCAGGAGACAAATTGCTTGATCATTGTCTTTGGTCCACCCTCTCTGGGGCACCTGGTGCTGGCCACTGTCGGTAGACAGGATACTGGGCTAGATGGACCTCTGGTCTGACCCAGTACCGCAGTTCTTATGTTCTTATCCTACGAAGCATACCGGGGCAGTCAACAAATGCCTTTGATGTTGACCGCAGAGCGTCCAGACTACTGCGCTGTGCCTCCAAACAGCTAATCGGCTCAGCGCAGCAGCCATTTTAATTTAAATGAAGTGGTGATTATTTAAATCGCCGCTTCATTTGGGTACGTCTAGTAAACTAATCTACATGGCTCTGGCGGCAGAGTTATGTAGTCTAGACATACCCATGAAAACATTCACAAGCTTTTGTTTTTATTCCAATATGAAACAAAAACAAATTCTGAAGCCTCAAAAGCGGCCCCAATATGGAACAATCATCCTCTGGAGAAATGTAATTGTTCCAGAGATCCTGATTACGGTAAAGTACTGAACTTAATTCTGAATTTTAATTAGCCCCCTTTTGAGAACATGAACATTTCAAATAAAAATTAAGCTGGATCAGTATTTCATTGCTGAGATCGAACAGAACAAAAATGCTTTGCTCTCCACAGTTCTTGTGGTGTCAGGCAAATCCCAGTACTAGGGATTTTGTTTGCAAGCGAAATAAATAAAAGAAACTCGTTATTTTCATTTGGTGCCATAATAAATGATAGCAGTAGCAGTGGACTTACACAATGGCTTATATTCTTGGCCTTGTTTATTCCAAGGATGATGGTATTTTCTGTATAGTTAATTAGCATTAATTTTGCAAATAGTATTAGAACTGAAACATGGACCATAAGCCAAAATAATTTGACTGAACTACATTCTTATTAAAAAGCCTGGAAAATAATGAGAATCTAATTGTCCTTTGTTTGTTAGAGTCGGCTGTTCTGCACATTCCTTTTATCTATGCAAGACATATTGTTTCACCGTTTCATACCAATTTGCTCCTCTTATTTTCCCACATTTGCATGTTCTTATACACAGAAAATGAACGACGATTATTACCCTATTTTGCATTCAATTTACATCACAAACCCATTAACACATCTTAACTCATCTATCTTGTGCAGAAATTTTAAAATAGTCCCTTGAAAGCCCTACCAGCTATGTCAAACACAAACAGTTTCCAATGCTGCAAAACCAAATGAGATGAAATGTCACATCTCAAATTAAAAAAAGAAAATTGCTGGCAAAATGCAGCAGATTTAACAAGTCCATAACTCCATTTTAGCTCCTCCTGTTTTAATCTGCAGCTTATCTTTACTCAAAAAGTGACCCCAAAATACCTACGTCTATACAGTGCCGCGTAGCTCTAAATAAGCTACACAATTCGAGCTACACAAATTCCGTAGCTTATTTCAAAGTAGCGCCAAATTTCAAAATAGACCGCTATTCCGACAAGTCCCTTAATCCTCATGGAACAAGGTTTACTGGGACGTTGGAATAGCAAGCCCATTATTTCGACTATATTTCAAAATAATGGCCTTGTTGCTAAGATGTAGGAAATGCTATTTTGGGATACCGGACGTATCTTGAAATAGCGCCACTGCCTAGACATACTCCAACTGTGTCTCATATCAGCTGCAGGAAGGAACATTTTTAATTTTTGGAGACACAGCTCACAGCATTCACAGTTCATAAACTACACTTTTACAACCACCCAAAGCCCATCATAACCTCCTAGCAACTGAGAGTTCATTCTTCAGCCCAGCCTCTTCCATGCAGGCACACCCAACACGTCACATATTCTATTCCACATGGAGTCCAGTTAGCCTCTTCTTGAGTACGTCTTATTGTGTGAAATGCTCTGTGGAATTCTGTTGCAATCACAATAATACAATGGCCATCTTATTTTGCAGAAACCCAAAGGGCTAAAAGTCTCAGAGGTATAGCTGTGTTAGTCTGGACCTTTAAAAACCAATGAGCAGTCCTGTGGCACCTTATGCCGTGTCTACACTAGGAGATTATTTTGAATTTACTAAATTTGACTTCTGGGCACCTGATTTTCTGAATTTGAAATTCCGTGTCCTCATTACGGGGAAGAATCAAATGTTGTCCAAGACAGGCTCCATTAATGTGGACACGCTACCTTGGACTCAGAGCCCCAGGAAGCCATCTGGGGAGCTGCAGGAGGCCTCCCAGAGACCAATTACTTCAAATTAGCAGCACGGGAGTGTCCACATTACCATTATTTTGAACTTGCAAGTTTGGAATTAGCATTATTCCTCAAGAAAAGCAGGAGTACAGAGTTCAAATTCTGCAGCCCCTTATTCCGGAGTAACAGGCTTGGTAGTATGGACATGCTGCTTACAAATTCAAATTTGGGGGTGTTATTTCAGACAAAGGTCCTAGTGTAGGCCAGGCCATGGAGACTAACCAAAATATATAGAATCATGAACTTTCATGGGTAAAACCCACTTCATCAGATGAACTGGAATGGAAATGACAGAAACCAAGATATATGTAACAGGAAAAGCAGTACCTGTCAATTGTAGGACCCATGTAAATGAGGCTAATTAAAGTAGGTTGTGTGTGTCCCATTCAGATGTTTTGATGTGAAAATATGGATGTTAAAGGTAGGAGAAATTGGTTTTGTAATACACCAACCAGTTAATGTCCCTATTCAAGCCCAAGGTAACAGTGTCAAATCTATAGGTGAATTCTGCAGTCTCTAATTGAGTGATGAAATTCCTTTATAGAAGAATGGCCTCTTAAATCCATGATTAAATGAGCAGGCAAGTTAAAATGTTCCCCTACAGGTTTCTGTGTGTTACCATTTCTGATGTCTGATTTGTGTCCATTTATCCTTTGTCGTGGAGACTTTCTGGTTTGGCCAATATACATGGCAAAGGGGCATTGTTGGCACTTGAGGGCATATATCACTTTAGAGGATGTGCAGCTGTATGAGTCCCTGATTTTGTGGCTTAAGTGGTTAGGTCTTGCAATGGTGTCACTTGTGTAGATATGTGGACAGAGCTGGCAAGAGGGTTTGTTGCAGGGTAGGTTTCTGGGTGAGTGTATCGGAGGTGTGATGTGCAGCTGCTGGAAACAATTCGTATCAAGTTAGGGGGTTGTCTGTAGGCAAGCATTGGCTTGTCTCCCAAGGCCTGTGAGAGTGAGGGATCATTTTCCAGGATAGGTTGTAGATTGTCAGTGATGCACTGGAGGGGTTTAAGCTGGGGGCTGTAGGTGATGACTAGTGGTGTTCTGTTCTTTTCCTTGTTGGGCCTGTCTTGAAGCAGATGCCTGGGTACTTGTCTGGCTCTGTCAGTCTGTTTCCTCACTTCCCAAGGGGAGGTTGGCAACAACCAGTATAAACCCATCGAACCTGGCCCACAGTGTTTCTTGAGGTTTGAAACTATGCAATAGATCTAAGCTGTCCAAAATTAGACTGGTTGCTTCCCCTTTCACATCCGAGCTGCCATTTCACAGAATCCTTGTCAAACACACATTTGAGGACCGTAAATTAAAGGGTTACCCACAGTAAACAAACAAGGGCCTGTACTTTGGAACAATCGATTCAGCTTCTCTGTACTTGCGCGAGCAGAAGGATTGTATGGTACATGAAAATGGAAAAAATCTCTCTCATAATCACCGCTGGTCTTCTAGGATCTCTTCTCAGTGCCGAATGTACAGGTTGGTTCATTTTAAACCTAGCAAGGCCTCTGCTTTTTACTTGCTTTCATAGGTTGGATTGCATTTCTGTCCTCTGACAAGGAATAGTTTACCAGCAACAAAATTCACATTGTAATTGCTGAATTTTATAGGTTCTCCATTTAAAAATATATCCTCTTGAGAATAAAAGATATATAGTTTCTAATGGTGATCAAATTAATTCCTGCGCTGCTTTTTATTTAAAATTTGGGACTTTTCTGATACTTAAAAATGGCTGAATCTAGAGAAATTCCTTGAAATTAATAGACATTAATACACATAAAAAAGAGGAAAAGAGATTCATAAATTAGTTTCTGTGCCTTTTACTGCATATGTGACTCTCAGAACAAACTGTTGCATACACCAGTGAAAACATGATGGCTGTGTCTAGACTGGCCAGTTTTTCCCGGAAAAATCAGCCGCTTTTCCGGAAAAACTTGCCAGCTGTCTACACTGGCCGCTTGAATTTCCGCAAAAGCACTGACTTCCTACTGTAAGAAATCAGTGCTTTTTGCAGAAATACTATGCTGCTCCCGTTTGGGCAAAAGTCCCTTTTGCACAAAAGGGCCAGTGTAGACAGCTGAGATTTGTTTTCCGCAAAAAAGCCCCGATCGCGAAAATGGCGATCGGGGCTTTTTTGTGGAAAAGTGCATCTAGATTGGCACAGACGCTTTTCTGCAAAAACCCATCGAGAACAGTTTGGTCAAAGAGCAGGCATTTCCAATAGAAATGAGGTTGTTACTTCACATATTGAGGTGCGATCTGCTTTAAAGATTTCAAAGGTAGTTTTACCAATTACCACTAGGGGAGCAGGACCAACACCCACTTATGGAGAAGATCATACCACCCCTCAGGTGGAGTTGTGAGGTTGCATTCATGTTTGTGTAATGTTGGTGGGAGTCGGGGGAGGGTGGAAGAGACTGTATATCAGAGTATTATATTGTTATTTCACTTCAGACCAGACAGCCTGCCCTATCTGAGAGGATAAAATATTTTCAGAGTGTTTCCTCACTGATTAGAATTAAGAGCCTAAAATACAGTATTTCTTACTAGAGAATTCTGTGCTACACCCAGATATTGGGAACCTCAGGGACCCAGGCAAGAGACAATGTATTTAAAGAGATTCATGGCTTCACTTAGTATCAGCTGATTCTAGGCAGCGGTTTCCCTGGGGATGGAACAGCATGTCCATCCTATAGCCTTTTATCCAGGATGTTGTTTTGCTTTTGAGAAGTCTTTTGCAGCATCAGCACATGACAGCATTCCCTGGAATGGCAGAAGGGCAGTAACTGGAGTTTGAGGTGTGCTTTGTGCTATATTTTAAATGCGGCAGCTGAAGAGTCACCATTTATATCTGGTGCACGTAAGTCAATTGGAACAGGTGCCTGCTATGTTCCTATTGGCTAGACGCGTCCAGGAAGCGATACAAGGTGAAGATGTTGCAAGGTGAAGATGTTCTAGTTTGGGTGTAATTAATCTGGAGACTAGGGATGTGAGAGGTTAACTGGTTAACCAGTTTACCAGTAAGCATTACCCTTACTGGGCGATGCTTACCGGTTCCAGTTAACCAGTGGGAGCTAGAGCAGCTCCCTGCCCACAATAGGCAGGGGAGCGCTCCAGCCCTGCAGGGTCCACCATGGACAGCGGCTGCTCCAGCTGTCCAGAGAAGCCCCTGTGCACGGTGGGCCTAGGTGTGTTGCAGACAGAGGCTGCTGCCTACAGAGGGAGGGGCTGTTCTAGCCCAGCTGTGATGGGCACCCACCTGCCCCCCACAATCAGTTCACCTGCTTAATCAACTATATGGGATTTTACATCCCTACTGTAGACTAACCGTGGGAAAAAGCAGCAGAGCTGCTGAAGCAAGCAGGGTGAAAGGCTGATCGGACTATCCATTTTGTCCCTGAGCTGCACATATCTTGGACTGCCCTGGACCTTTTGCAGAGTTCAGCTGCAAAATGGCAGGTCCCAATGTCAGAGTCACCACCAAAAGAGGTGGATTATTACCAGAGGGTAATGTGGAAGAACCATCTTTGCTCGTATGATACTACGCCAGGCGATCTGTCTACCGTAACTGCCTTTGCATTTTAAGAGTGAGCTAATCAATCATCAGACATTCAGATGCTCAGAAGAGGAGGGAAATCAATTTTTGATCCCTCCCCCTAGCACAAAACCAAGCTATTGCCATCAGTCAATTGGTGTGAATAGTCACAAGTCTCTACCAGACCTGCTTTCTGAGAGAGCACAATTTTTTACTTCATCAAGACTTAGGACAAGGTGGTTCTATTAAGTTCGAGTATTTAATTCTCATAGGATCCTTATTTCCTTTGCTAATTGAAAGTAAAACGCCAGCACAAGGAAGACAGAATTGTAACCTTGTTTTGCAGTTTGCATTGTTATAAGACTAGTTGGAAGTTCTAATAATGACTTGCAGACAGACTTCCAGCTGAAGGTTCAATTCCTTGGTGGGGAGGGGAGGAGAAATCCAGAATGTCTCCAGTTGAGTTCCTTGGAATTACCCAAGTATAAATCTGGAGTCAGGGCTTTATTGAAGTCAGAGGGAGTTTGTCTGATGAATTCAGGGGGTGTTTAAAAAGGCACTTGGGTGTGTCTAGACTGCAGGGTTTTTTAAAAAAAAGTGGTCTTTTTTTAAAAAAAACTTCCCCTGCATCTATACTGCCACCACGTTCTTTCTAAATTAAATTGAAAGAACACGGCGTTTTTTTCTACTGCGATAAACCTCATTTTACGAAGAAGAATGCCTTTTTTCGAAAGTGCTCTTTTGAAAAAAGGCATTCTTGAATGCAAACATGGCTTTTTTGAAAGAGAGCATCCAGACTGCCTGGGTGCTCTCTTTCAAAAAAGCGGCTCGCTTTTTCTAAAGTACTGGTTGTAGTCTAGACGCTCTCTTTCGAAAGACGTAGCCTGAGTGAGAGCAAAAACTAGCCGTAGCCCGAGTGAGAGCAAAAACTAGCCTTCTAAAAGCAAACAGATTCTGTCTGGTTGTTATCAATTCTCACAAATTCCCTTTCTAGTCCTTGTGCTGAGTTTCTTCATCCTCTCGCCGACTATCAAGTAGCAAATGAAATTTATTTCCATTTACTCAGACATTTGTAAAAGTATGACTCTTATCTGAACAAGAAGCTACACAGCAATACTGTTTCACAACCTTAATGGCCATCTCTAACCCCAAACAGAACTGACAGCACCATCTAGTGACTACGAGAGGCTTTAATGTCTTCCACTCAAAGCCTGTTCATTTTAAGAAAAGTCCTTGAAAGTCTGGCTTTCAAATAGGTGATCAAGAAGCTTCTTTGTTTTAAAAAGCAGGTCTGCTCAAACACAAGGCAGTGTTTGTGGTGTCAGATGAAACAAAGTACAATGATATCTAGAACACAGCAAAATGTGTCAGGAACCAGAAATTTGGTTCCTGACAAATTTGGGAGTATTTGAAAGGTGCACCATCACCTCCCCCCACCCAGGTTTCCACCATCATTTAAACTGCTAAATGGGTGCCCCCACATTTCCCCACCCTGTCCCTCTGGGTGACCATCCCTGCACCCCCTCTTCCTGTAGGCACCATTCACCCCTGTCAGGGACACTGAAACCTTGATAAAATATTGCTCATGCAAGGCTGCCATTACTAAAGTCTTCAGTGGGGAATTTTCCAGTTGCAGACTAACGTGGATACCCCTCTGAAGCATTTTAAGGGGTGTTAGTTCTGGAGAAAAAAATTAAACAGTGTTTGAAGAGAGAAGACAAATTGTATTCATCTCCTTCAGATTGTCTTCTAAGACGAAATTCACCCCTCTGAAGAGGGTCATCATAAATCTTGTGCATTATTTACATCTCACTTGTGCCATTAGCCTCTCTGCACTAGAGTGAAGATTGCCTCAAACAAACAAAAACAAAACAAAATCAACCAGCATTTTAAGACATGATCTACACAAAGCTTTTGTACTGTTTAGGGCTATGTCTACATTGGCAAGATTTTGCGCAAATACTTTTAACGCAAGAGTTTTTGTGTTAAAGTATTTGTGCAAGAGAGCATCTACACTGGCATGTGCTTTTGTGCAAAAGATGTGCTTTTGTGCAAAAGCATCCATGCCAGCGTAGACATTCTCTTGTGCAAGAAAGCTCCGATGGCCATTTTAGCCATCGGGCTTTCTTGCGCAAGAAATTCATGTTGCCTGTCTACACTGGCCTCTTGCACAAGAACAGTTGCACAAGAGGGCTTATTCCTGAGCGGGAGCATCATAGTTCTTGCGCAAGAAGCAATGAGTTCATACATTAGAACGTCAGTGTTCTTGTGCAAGAACTCCCCGCCAGTGTAGACAGGCAGGATGTTTTTTTGTCATGCCAATGTAGAGACAGCCTAGCTGTTTTGGTTATGAAGGTGGTATTTTTAATTATACTGTCATACCAGTACAGCCTCTAGTGTGGACACAGTTCAGTATAAGTACCCTCTGTATACAGGGCTGGGAATATGCCAGTGATTTTAAAACTTTCTCTCATGATCCAGTTGAAAAAAGTGTTGATGTTGCACCCCAATATAATTTCACTAGAGTGTGGGCTCCAGGGTGGGGCAGAGGATGAGAGCTTTGGAGTGATGGTGGGGGCTCCAGCTTTGGGTAGGTCAGGTCTGGAGCAGCGCCTGGTCAGCAGTGCAGCGGAAGCGGGGGGTGGCGGTGGGTGAAGGCAGCTTCTTGCCTCTCCTGGCACCGCAGACCATGCTGCCCCAGAAGCAGACAGCAGCAGGTTCCCAGCCAGTGGGAGTGTGGAGCTAGTGCTCAGGGCAGGCGCAGTGCATGGAGCCCTGTGTGCTCTCTTCCCCTCCCACGTCTAGGAGCCAGGCCTGTTCCCAGCCATTTCTGGGGTGCAGTGAAGTGTAGTCTGTGGTGCCAGGAGAGGCAAGTAGCCTGTCTTAGCACCCCCACTGGTCACCTGATCCCCCTGCAGCAACAAGACCAACTGCCTGACATTCCACGACTCAGTACTAGGTCGTGACCTATAGTTTGAAAACCATTGGAATAAGCTGTACTAGAATATGCATGTTTATACTGGTGTAACTGTATCCATACTAGGCAGGGCTATATTGCTGTATGAATACCAGTACAGTTGAAGCGGTATTACTACTACTGCATTTAAACAAGGCTTTAATAAATTATTATATTGGAAGGCCAAATTGGGTGCATTTTTTTCCTGCTGGCGACTTACTCTTGACAAAGTGTGCAATATGCCCCCACCCATGATGACTAGATGGGGTAAGCACAGGCATGAAAAGCATGGCATTTGGGAACACAGCACATCCCCTGACAATTAACACATTGAGGGGAATGTACCATCCTGTAACTACGGCTTGTGGCATTTTTTTAATTGCAGTTTTTATCAAAAACGAACAAGCAAGCTCCATTTTGCACAGGCAGAAGAGGTACAATTCAAATAGACTGGAAGAGTTCGTGGCAGGGAACCTCGAGAGAGAATGTATAGAAGAAAAATGCAGCTTTGAAGAAGCGCGAGAAGTCTTTGAAAACACGGAAAAAACAGTGAGTGTTGTTACAGCAGAGTGATAAACACATCCACCCTTGTTAACCTACAGGGAAGGGAACAGGACAGGAAGGAAACTGCTCTACTCTGTGCTGGTTAGGCCTCAGTTGGAGTATTGTGTTCAGTTCTGGGCACCGCATTTCAAGAAAGATGTGGAGAAATTGGAGAGGGTCCAGAGAAGAGCAACAAGAATGATTAAAGGTCTAGAGAACATGACCTATGAGAGAAGGCTGAAGGAATTGGTTTTATTTAGTTTAGAAAAGAGAAGATTGAGGGGGGACATAATAGCAGTTTTCAGGTATTTAAAAGGGTATCATAAGGAGGAGGGAGAAAACTTGTTCATCTTGGCCTCTAGGGATTGAACAAGAAGCAATGGGCTTAAACTGCAGCAAGGGAGGTTTAGGTTGGACTTTAGGAAAAAGTTCCTAATTGTCAGGGTAGTCAAACACTGGAAAAAATTGCCCAGGGAGGTTGTGCAATCTCCATCTCTGGAGATATTTAAGAGTAGGTTGGATAAATGTCTATCAGGGATGGTCTAGACCAGTGTTTCCCAATTTTATTTGACCACAGTACCCTTTTAAACTCAGAAGAATTTTGAGGAACCCCTACAGCCAGGGGAGGCGGGCTTCCAGTACACCATTATTAAAGTAAGGATGCTAAATAAGGCCATGGGATCAACATTCTGTTTAATTGCACATCTTTAAAAATATCACATTAAATGTGTACAAAAAATGAAGCTTAAAAACTAATATGAATTATATTGGCAACTTTCAATGCAAAGAGTGGTTTTTCTTCTTTTCTTGGCAAATTCTTTTAATATTTGATTTAATACTAGAAAATTGGATTTGCATATCTGGCACGGGATTCAGTTGATTTCTGTATTTTGTTTTTGTTGATGCATAATTCAAAAGCCCAGTTTCACACAGTCTGTGCTGACGAAGGGTAACAACTGACGAATTGCATGTCTTGATAAAGATGAATATTCTTGATTTTGACAGAAGTCTCCCCAAAATGTTATCAGAGAAACATCTTTAAATTGTTTTATTAATTGGCCGTCTGAAGCGATTTTGATTAGGTTTTCATAATCTTGCATAGAAAAGCCAACTGGCTTTTCTGTTAAACTTAATGGATTTTGAATCCAGTTATGGTTGTCATTTATGGTTGGAAAATACTTAATGATGTTTGTGTATAAATTGCGAAGACGATCTGCAATGTCACTGCAAATATCTTCATCAAATTTGCCTTAATTTTCTTCAAGGAAAAAATTCAGAGTGGGGAAACACTCCAAATTATTTTGTCCTACAGACGATATCCAAAACTGTAGCTTACATGACAATGGCAAAATTTTATCTTTCTCATTAAAAATATTTACGTTCTTTCCTTGCAGCAACAGATTTACTTCATTTAGTTTTGTAAAGATGTCTGCAAGATATCCAACTCTCGATAACCATAAAAAGTTTGTTAAACAATCAGACAGTTGGAATTTGTGATGCAGCAAATATGTGGAGAGCTCATGATGCAACACGAATAATCTAACCAGAACTTTGCCTCACAATAGCCACCTGACTTCTGTATGTAGAAGCAGGGCTGTGTGCTGACTACCCATATCTTCACACACAATTTTGAGCAGTCTTGATTGTAATGGTCGAGTTTTTATATAATTAATAATCTGTACTGCTTTGTCCAACACATTTTTAAGAGAGGGAGAAACATTCTTAACTACCAGAGCATGTCTGTGGAGAATGCAGTGACTGCTGGTGCAGTTTGGTGCTATGTTTTTTATTTGTGTTACAGCAACAGCCACTGTTCCTACCACTGCTTTGGCACCATCACTGCACACATCAACACATTTTTCCCTACTTATTTCATGTGTTTTCATTAAGTTATCAATAGAATTGAATATATTCTCACCAGTCATATTGGTTGGCAAAAATTCACATAAAAGTAAGTCTTCAATAGATCTATTAAAATAATGGACAAATACAAGCAAAACTGCAAGACCTGCAACATTAGTGGACTCGTCTAATTGTAATGAATATTCATCACATAAATGCAGACAAAAAATAAGCTCCTTCTTGATGTCAGCAGCAAGCTCGTGAATACGATGCATGACAGTATTATTTGATAGTGGCACAGCCTCAACTTTTTGACAAGACTCCTGATCCAACATGCACATTACAATATCTTTTGCACATGGTTTTATGAGTGATTCCCCAACTGTGTGTGCTTCACGGGCAAGTGATATATGATAGCTAACTTTGTAAGACCCCTCTGTTGCATTTTCTTTATCTGTTTTGGCAATTTTTTTACATGAAAATTTTACTTTTTTCAAGCGATTCAAGCTTCCACTTAAAAAAAAACTAATGTCTTTATCTTTGTATTCTGAATGATTTGTTTCTAAATGTCTTTGCAATTTAGCGGGTACTAAACAACTATTGGATAATATTTTGTTGCAGAGTACACACTGGGCACTTGGAGCATCTTTATTTCCATTGCTTGTGAATCCAAATGATAAATAGTCACCGCAATACCCACGTTTCTTATTATTGGTCTGTAATTTTTCATAATTAACTTGAACAGCCTTGGTATCTTCCTTGCTGGTTTCAGAAACAACATGGTTGCTTGAAATACTCATTTTTCTCTTTAAAGTTCCTTCTTTAAGCCAATGATCCATGGGGAATTTTGGTATCAAGAATAATGTAATCCTATGTGTAGATACTATTAACTTGTATTTTTAAAGTCACACATGTGAGCCACGCTTCCTGACAGTGGGTATGGGGATTTCCGCTTCCTGACAGTGTGTAAGGGATTTCTGGTGTTATATACCTTGTGATCGCACCACTGATTGACAGCACCCTCCACCCCACTCTGCATTTCCAAAGGGACCTAGTAGCAGCAGCTTTGGAAAGGCAGAGCGGCAGCAGGGGAGGGGGAAAAGAGGACTCTTGTGCTTATCAAGAGAAGTGGGACCGGCAGCTGCTACTGCTACTTGGTCCCTTTGGAAAGGCAGAGTAGCAGTGGGGGGAAAGGGGAAAAGATTCTTGCACTCATCAGCAGAAGTGAAACCAGCAGCTGCTGCTGCTGCTACTTGGCCCCTTTGGAAAGGCAGAGCTGCAGCGGGGGAGGGGAGGTGGCTGAAAGCCCGGCGGGGAACCAGAGAAGGAGCTAGCATCTTTGCTCGTTTCTGTCTCTTTAAGAGGGGCCGGGAGAGTGGGGGTTCTCACGGAACCCTTACTTTCACTCCAAGGAACCCTGGGGTTCTGCAGAGCACCATTTGGGAAACACTGGTCTAGACAGAATTTGGTCCTGCCATGAGGGCAGGGGACTGGACTCGATGACCTCTCAAGGTCCCTTCCAGTCCTAGTATTCTATGATTCTATGGGAAAAAAGCCTCTCTCTCAGAGTACAATTCAGCCTGGAAAATGGGCCAGCATAATACATCTGAAGAAGTGGGTTTTGCCCACAAAAGCTCATGATATTATCTATATATTTGTTAGTCTCTAAGAGTGCGTCTACATTGCAGGGCTTAACTTGAAATAAGCTACACAAATGGAGCTACACAAATGGAGATACAACAATTGCGTATCTTATTTCGAAATAGCTTATTTTGAAATTGGGAGTGTCTATACAGCACTTATTTCAAAATAGAACACTTTTCCTCTGACTTCCCTTACTCTTCATAAAATGAGGGTTACAGGAGTCAGAGTAAGAAATCCTCCAGCTTAACACTATTTTGAAATAGCTGCCTACTGTGTAGATGCGGACTAAGTTATTTCGGAATAGTGCAAGTTATTTCAATATAGTGTGGCAGTGTAGATGTACTCTACAGTGCCACAGGAATACTCCTTGTTTTTAAAGTTACAGACTAACAGGCTACCCCCTCTGGGACCTATGTTCATGTGAGTCTTGCATAAGCCCTAATGCCTGTGCTGACCTGCTTCATAAGAGGAATTTTAATCCTAAAACCTTTTTATTTGGATCCTATACCTAAAGTTTGGGGAGGCTTTACATCTTAGTTTAACTAAGTAGTTTAACTCTCAAGTTAAATATAAAAAAAAGTGATCATGTTATTGTTTCTTTGTTTTGTAGATGGAGTTTTGGAAAGGATATATTGGTAAGAGATTTGCTTCCTCCACCTTTCACATACATAAAGCCCCTAAGTAACAGGTACAGGTGTTCATCAAAAGAATATTTCTTATTTAATGGAATGTGCGCCACAGTAGAGCTATTCAAAGGAATGACTAGCACAATGAGGAATGTAGCTCCTCAATTTAGTCCTTTTACCTATTCTATCTGCAGATAATTCACCATGTTGGTTTTTACATTTTATTTGTAATTGTTCAAAGAGCTTGAGTGGACAAGTTTCACTCTGTGAGCTGATACTGACAGCTTGCTGTTTATGGTGTGCAATTGGTCTTGTGTCATACAAAGAATGTTTCTGCTTCAATAGAAAAATGAAATGTTATGGTTTGAGAACAATAGCAAGTTTCCCAATTGCATGCATATATGGTTTTGTGACCAGCCCCTCTCTAAACATTTGTGTGAGGACATCATGTTTGCTTGGCGATAGTGTATTAAAGAGAACTAGGAATGTGGCCAAGGCAGATAGCTGTTTGGAATTCAAACAGAAGCTCACAAACACTTGTTTTGCATCTCTTGTCCAGCTCTGCTTCACACAGACAATCTGTCCCTTCACTGCATGGTCTCTAACCCCCATTGCTCCATACACCCACCAAAAAAAGGAAAACCCACAACAGAGAACACAAAAGCTACCAACCAACCAAGGATGTTTTGGCACATGAGTTAAAGCGGCGTTGTAGGCTAGCTGAGCCCACAGACCATCTCACACAGTCTTAAATAATTTACGAGAGTCAGACCAGACTATACAATACAAAAATTACATTTTCATTTTAAAATTGTCTGAAACAGCCATCGTAATACAACTGAAATGCTGAATTTTGGTTTTCTATGTTTGAAACGAAAGACCCCCTTTAAAAAAAAAAAAAGGTTCTCCTTTCACCACTGTGCATGTCTGACTTGTTTAGCACATGAGCTGCTAGTACCCACATTAGTGCTGAGTGGGTGAAATTCACAGTTGTGCGGAGACCCATGTGGGACTTCAGCCTATTTGAGAACTTACCTGATGCACAGACCTTGTACTCTACACAGCAGTGAATTTGGTTGTGAGGGGCCATCTTCTGCTCCACACGAGCAACCTTTGGGGAGAGTCTCCCAGGCTTGCATCAAAATTCTCTGCTGCCCTGTGCTGTGTGTCTGCACAGGAGGAAAGGATAAGTGGGCGCAAAACTTTACTTCAGTAACGTAGTAGAGTTTTTATTCCCTAGTGCAAGCTGGTAAGTGGCTGCACAAGCCGTCGGGTGGCACTAAAACCTGTTCAGCCTGCAGGCTGGACATTCTGTAATGTGTTACATTTTACCTCCTATTTCCATTGAAATGAGGGGGTGTAGGAGAAAGAGGATCAAGCATTAACAGCTGAATTTGCTGGTGTCGCCTGAAAGAATCAATCCACTCTTCCCCTCTTTGACTTTGCTATTTTAAGCATTTCAACATTGCTAACCCAATTGCCAAGTTTTTCTAAAACAAATTTTCTGATCATTGATGTTTTTCCTCACAGGAATTTCAGTGACTCTCAGCTGCCATTGTTTTAAGAGGTCTGTTTCTAGCCCTCACAGCTGTGGAGAAAAGCTTGAGACCTGAAAAATCAGGGTCCTATGGGAAACGCTGAAAACCAGGTGGCCATGTCACACTCTCCTCCAACGAAGGATGAGGAGTGAGACAGCTGGGTCTGCAAGTTCTGAAGGAAATCTACCTGCTAACTCCTGCTCACTAAATAGACATAGGTCCATGCTCTGATCTGACACTAGTGAGAATTGAGCAGCGCACAACTGAAGTCAGAGGAATTAACACACCAAAAGACTGAAGTGAGATCAGGTTTTGACACCATAATCAGGTCTGTGCCCATAACGCATCTGCAGAGGTCACCTCAGGGTTGCCGCTGTGTCAGCGTGTCATGCAATTATTTTCCAAACACTAACGTTTCACTTAAAAAGGTAGTTTTCCGGTCCAAGCTTAATTTAACATTCGATATCCTGAGCCCTGGGCAGGGGGAGAAGTATACCTCTGAGCTTCAAAAGTGATAAATGCTCTTGCTTGCTAACTAACCAAACTTGTTTTCATTTCCAAGATGGAGACCAGTGTAATCCAAATCCATGTAAAAATGGAGCCCGTTGCGCAGATGATATTGGCTCCTACGTGTGCTGGTGCCTGGCCGGATACGAAGGGAGGAACTGTGAGCTAGGTATGTGCCAATGGGCCATGTTCTCTCTGCCCAATACCATACATAGCCACATGCACCGGGGAAAAATGGGTGTGAATAACTTCCATTCTTCTTGGGTGGTGTTGTATAAGTGCGGTCAATGACCATGCGACACACAGATGTAACTCTTTTGTAAATGTATTCCAGGTCTCTCCTTCTGGGCCCAATCTAGTGAGTCTTAGTAATTTAGCTCCTGCTAAAACAAGTCTCACCTCCTGCTGTTGTGTTCCCTGGTGTTAGCTAGGGTGGCAGTCACCACAAGTGAGAATCAGATTCAGAGCTGTTCGGTAATGTCATGCCTGCCAATACAAATATTTACATCACCTTTAGATTCGGACAAACCCTTCCCATAGAGATTGTATTAGTCAGGGATATTTAACTCCATAGGATAAATCCTGAGCCTAATGAAGATGATACAAGATTTCTTTTTCCCATTAATTTCAATGGGGCCAGGATTTCACCCCTTCTCTCTCACAACTTCTGGAGAGGAAGAGAGGCACCAAAGTTCACAGAAATAAAACTGGAGTTTTCCCATTGACATCAAGGCAGCAGAACAAGAGCTACAGCACTGAGATTTGTTTAAAACCCTACACTTTCGTGCACTCAGGCGTTCATGAAAATAGAGACACTTCGGGTTTAAAGGAAACAGGGTCACCATCTCGTTGTGCCTGCCCACCTTTGGATTGAGGATAGCCAGCCTAATGAATGAGCACGACAAAGAGATTCTCTGTTCACTTGGGTTTTCGCTCCAGCAGGGACGAGGTGCAGATCCAGAAGGGTGTTTCAAATTGGCATCAAAGAGTCTCGAGCCACGTCCATCTTGTGGAGGGGAGGCTGGGACTAAAATAGCAATAGAAATGAGGCCCCAGGAGTGACTCTAAAAATAGTAAACAATCAGGTAAGCATGATGACAGGGACGGATGTGGCCTGGAGGAGGGGGAGTGGAGTTAATCTACCATGAAGTGATTTGAAAACTTGCTGAGAATTAAAACCGACCTGTTGACTATTTATTCACTTCTGACACCTGGAAGATGAGATTCTTGAAAGATGGGAAAGCGAAGGGGAGCATGCCTCAGAAAGGTTCATGAGCAATGGGGAATCAAATCTGGCACTTCTGGGTCTTATGCATCAGCCTCTACTACCCGAGGTAAAAGACTCAACTCTTAGGCCTTGTCTACACTCTGGCCCGCTGAGGGGGGGAACAAAGAGGGTAGCTGCTCCAGGGCCCAATGATTCAAAGGGCTTGAGGCTCCCAGACATCAGTGCCACTACCACAGGAGCGGTGGTTGCTGGAGCCCCGGGTCCTTTAAATTGCCTCTGGAGTGCCATGTGACGTGCTCCGAGCATCTCTCCGGGATGTCAGGGGGCCCTATGTAGCATGCTTTGGGCAGCACTGAGGGCTGGCTGCCTCCAGGCCTGCCCCTTCTGCCCAATGTCATGCCCCCTGTGGATGGGGTGGGAGAGGGGGGTCAGAGCTGAGCTGAACTCCCCCCGCCCTCCCCACACACACATATAACCCAGGACCCAGTAGAGTCTGTCTCCAGCCCTGCTTTTATGTATAATACAACGCTTCTGTAGAACCAGTGCACCCCTTCACCACGCTTATTTATGTTGGGTGGTGTTATACACAAGCCCCTACATACTTATTCTGGATAATAGTGTAAGTTATCATGCCCTGCCATACTCCATACTCCTCCCTCCCCCCCCACGCTCCTCCCATCCCTCTCCCCAGCTGGGGAAGTGCATCTCATGCTCCAAACGCTTCCCAGTTTTATTTCCTCTCCAGGCCACCACCCGTAATACCGACATCCCTTGCTGCAGTGTCAGGGACAGGGAGTGAAGTTGGACACAGGGTCTTCTTGCTTATATCATGCCCTGCCATACTCCATACTCCTCCCTCCCCCCCCACGCTCCTCCCATCCCTCTCCCCAGCTGGGGAAGTGCATCTCATGCTCCAAACGCTTCCCAGTTTTATTTCCTCTCCAGGCCACCACCCGTAATACCGACATCCCTTGCTGCAGTGTCAGGGACAGGGAGTGAAGTTGGACACAGGGTCTTCTTGCTTAGACAGTAGAGGCTTATGCCACAGAGTGGTCCCACTGCCAAGGAACAACACAGAGGCATCAGGATTACATAAGACTCCATTACAAGCTCCAAACTCAGTTTCATCAACAGCTGGGCTCGGGCTGGTGAGCGATTTGTGTGGATCCGGGAGGATTCACGGTTTGTGTTGTGGAAAACCAATAGTGCTTTTATTTGGTTAATGAATCAAAACCTGATTGACGTTAAATTGGAGTGAACCCAGAACTGTAAGCAAGAGTCAGAGTTCTAGCCCAGGGTTTGCACAGCACTCTGTGTCCTGACTCCATACTGAAGAGAGAGGGGGAGAAGGGAGCGTGGTGGGGAATCTATGCAACCGGTAGCCAAATATTTGTCCAAACACTTCCAAGTGGCACTGCCAAGTTCCAGAGAACTCCAAAATGCTGAGTGGCCTTAACCTCACTGACGTCATTGGTTCCAGAACTGGTGCTTTGTAGCATACAAGGTAGCTGCCCTAGTGAACTCTGCTCCCTCTCCATACTGCCAAGCAGATCACTGAAATGACTGTCTTCCTGAGAGCTTGCTAGGAGACTGGGTCCTACCAGAGCAAGCAGGGCAGGCCTCAATAGGTGTTCAGTGGAAGAGCAATGACAACAAAGCCAAAGAGCTTTCCAGCAGAAAGAGATCAAGGGACCTACCATTTCACCATGACTTTCCACAATAATCCCACCAGTTTCATTCAGTTCCAGCTCAGACGTTTGCCATTTTGGGAATATGGCTTTAACATGGGACAGTCGATAGGCCAAATCTGGACCACCAGAAGCTTTTGATCTGACCCCCAAATCTTCACTTGTTGTTATTTTTTTGTATTGCTTTCTCTGAAGTCCAGACCTTGACCAAGAAATTTGCACCTTGGCAAAAGAATAATGATGTGGCCCTGCTTTAACCTTTTGGTCTCATATATGCTGTCCATGTCTTCATTAGACAAGTGCATGGGTTAGACACTCTCATTCAGATGTTCAAGGTTGATAAAGGGGTTTAGTCACACTTTCAGATTAAATGGGTTTTATAGCTCCAGCTCCTTTAACACACACCAGGCACAAATTTCTCACTGTAGCACATCCTGATCAGTGGTTTCATTGGAAGGGAGGGTGCCAATTTGCTTCTACCATGCAACGGTTGGGATTGCTTACATGCTAGAATCTAAAGGCCTAATCTTAAGTGTTAACCTCCCCTAACTCCTAGACTGCTCCCAAAGTAAACAACTCAGTGATGTGCTTCTTAATCTGTGTCTCTTTCCAGCTGTGCATGGGTTGCACTTTTCAAGTATTTTATGGGTTTTGGTTTAATTTCTTCCAGATTCAACCTGTGCTACTAAGAACGGAGGGTGCAAGCATTTTTGCAGAAACGACCCATCCCACAAAGTTGTTTGCTCCTGTGCACCTGGCTATAAACTGAACGCAGATGGAAAATCCTGTGACCCTGCAGGTCAAGTTCTACAATGGTCTAAAGATTTGCACTGAGATTTCTAACGCTTCCTAGAGTGTTTAGACGCACAAATGTCATTGAAATGAAGGCATACATCTAAAATCTTTAGGGTTTTTTTTTTTTGAAATCTCAGTCTCTTGCTTCATAAACATGTTATGAAATGTGTAGCATGGCAGTTTAGCAATGGCTGTGGATATTTTGTTGTGGATAAGGGCCACATGTTGGTAGCATAAACCCCTTTTCCTATTTTTCCTAAGGCCAGCACTCTACAGAGCAGGGACCACTGCTTATTTCAGGTGGCCATGGCCATATCTACACATCACGTCTACTTTTCCTCTGTCTGTGTGTCAGTATGACCCCCTTACAACATTGTCTGTGGAGCTCCCCAACTTTCGAGGGAGAAGCCATGTGTCCAACTGCTCTCATGTCCACAGGCTATCTAGCATGCATGCCATGTGAGTTCTTGCAAGTCAGAGCTATTACACTGTTAATCACACACATTCTTCACATTTGGGAGGCTGGGGGCTTTTAGATCACAGTATACAGAATGGAGAAAGTCTACATCCAGTCAGAGTGGGTTGCCATCCTATAGATGATCCCATCTTTGAACACCATTGGGAATTGTCCTCCAAGTTCTTTGAGAAGCTGTCATTAGAGACATGCCAAGCTAGTACTGCTTTTGGGTGCTATTTCTATTACACCCCTCTTTAGTTAGAACAAGACATACAGTAGATACTAAAATATGGAATCTAAATTTGTTGTTAATGAGGTTAAAAATCTTTAGAAAGGGGAAAAATGGATTTTCATGGTTGCAACTTTAGAAGCTTTACTTTAAAAAAAATCATGTCACAAGTTTGCTATTTTATATGCATAGCCCAGTAATGTAAGTGAGAACTAAGAAGTCATTGAAAAGAACAGTTAACTACAGAGATGGGCAATAATTTTTGGCTGGGGGCCACATAAAAAAATTTTGAAGTGGGCCCAGGCCGCCCCGGAAGGGGCAGGGCCTAAAATGGAAGAGGCGGGCCCAAGATACTTCTGGGCTTCCCCATCCCCAGACCATGATTGGTCTGGGGGTGGGGAAGACTCTTTGCCCCCCCTCCCACTAAGCACCCGTGACCCTGGCAGGATGGGAAGAGGTTTTACATGTTCTCCCACACCCAGGCCAATTAGAGTCTGGGGGCAGGGGAAGTGCATGAAGTTTCCTTCGCCTTGCCAGGAGCACATAGATCTTCGAAGTGCTGCACGCTCCTGACAGGGTGGGAGGAGACTTCAAGCGCTCCCCCACCCCCAAGTCCTGATTGGTCTGGGGGTGGTGGAAGCACATGAAGTTTCCTCCGCCCTACCCCCACCCTGCGAGGAGCGTGTGGCACTTTGAAGTGCTGCGCACTCCTCGTAGGGCAGGAGGAGTCTTCGCATGCTCCCACGCCCTAAGGCCAATCAGAGATTGGGGGCGGAGGAGCACACGAAGTTTCCTCCACCCTGCTAGGAGTGCGCAGCAATTCAAAGTGCTGCATGTTCCTTGCAGGGCGGCGGTAGGGCGGAGGAATCTTCATGTGCTTCCATCACCCTGAGGCCCTAATTGGCCTGGGGGTGGGGTAGCGGCAAGGCCTCTGTGGACCGGATCAAATCCAGCCCACAGAGGCCCTTTTGCCCGCCCCGGTTAACTCTATTTTCAGTGGGGCTGTAGCCATGTTGGGCATAGAATACTAGAAACACAACTCGGGTGAAGAACACCTCTGTGTAGATCAAAAGCTCATCTCTTTCACCAACAGAAAGTTGGCCAATAAAAGATAGAAAGTAGCTTAGACATGCCTATGGAAAAGACCAGTTAACTATTTGCATTTAAAGTCATTAGACAAGACAACTTGTTTTTAATAACTCCAAAATGCACTTACTAGTCTATCCACAGCTTTTTAGTAGTCTTCTCACCTTCATCTGTTGTAAAATATTTACGTATACACATATAATTTCCATGCTTTTCTAGTTCAGAAACGCACAGTATTTAAATTGCACAATACTGTAGTTAGTTGCTATAGAAGTATCAGTTATAATAAGCAAGAGCAGTGGAGTATTGCTTTCTCTTTTACTGCAATGGGAAAGTTGATTTTCTTGGTTTCTAATTTTGACGTTCCAAGCAACCCATAGTAGACTTTCCAAAATTCCTTGATACTTTTAAGTGTTTGAGTTTTTGAAACTTGAATCTCTCTTGGGCACATGTACAACTATCATATTAAGTTTCCTTCTTGTGTACCACTATGAGTGATTGAGGTTTATGCAGAACAAAAATTAGCCCTTTCCCTGTAACCCTATTGTTTTCAAGCAGATTTGCACAGATATAACTGGTAGGAACTTTGCTAAAAGAACTCTGACTTTGCCACGCAAGATGAAATAGAACCTGCAGTTTGTAATTCCGAGAGTTGTCTGGTAGAGTGGAAGACAGGAACAGTGAAGTGCAAACAGGAACAAGAAGTAATAAGCAGTTACCTTTGTCACTAATGTAACTAGATTTGGCTGACAACAAAGCAGATTTGTTTGGTAAGGAGTGTCATGTTTATATTAGTACTCTAGGGTATGTCTACACTACCACCCTAGTTCGAACTAGGGTGGTTAATGTAGGCAATCGAAGTTGCAAATGAAGCCCGGGATTTAAATATACCGGGCTTCATTTGCATCTTGCCGGGCGCCGCCATTTTTAAAGCCCCAGTAGTTCGGACTCCATGCCCGCGGCTACACGCGGCACGGAGTAGGTAGTTCGAATTAGGCTAATTCGAACTACCGTTACAACTCGCTCTAATTCGAACTACCTACTCCGTGCCGCGTGTAGCCGCGGGCATGGAGTCCGAACTACTGGGGCTTTAAAAATGGCGGCGCCCGGCAAGATGCAAATGAAGCCCGGCGCGTGTAGCCACGGACACAGAGTCCGAACTACCAGGGCTTTAAAAATGGCGGCGCCCGTCAAGATGCAAATGAAGCCCGGGATATTTAAATCCCGGGCTTCATTTGCAACTTCGATTGCCTACATTAACCACCCTAGTTCGAACTAGGGTGGTAGTGTAGACATACCCCTACTGAGCAGAACCAGGCACCAATCAAGAGTCCAACATCAGCTGGTTTGAAGGGATCTGGAATTACAGAGCACAATTTTTCTCTCTTCCCCTTTTCTACTAAGACTCTCAAATTTACTCTGAGTATGGAGATCATCTCCAGAGAGATGGTCCCTGAGCACTTCCCCTCCTATTGGAGATCTCTCACCATCTTTGGCAGCAGCCATTGCTGGGAGTCAAGACACGCGTAAAAGCAGACATACCTTCAGAAATAGGGCTGGAAGGGGGATATGGCAGAACCAATGAGACACAGAGGATACAGAGCCGTGATCTGCACGAAGCATGGTTCCATGTAGCCACCACCATGGTTGGTGGCATAATCTGAAATATCTGTTGGCTTTGTGTTTGCAGGGTTTATGGGGAAACTTCATAGCAGATGGGGAATTACATGAAAAAAGGTTGGGTAGGGGCTGGTCCTTGTGATATACCCACTCGCACCCAACCTACAGCAGCTCCTTTAAAACAAAGCATTCCCAGGGTGCAGGGACAGCTGGGGCCTGATTTGTTGTCAGGCCCCAATGGGCACAACTAAGGGTAGCGAACAAAGTCTTTTATCCCTTTGAGAGGAAGATTTCCCAGTCTAGTTTTCTGTATCTTCTATTTCTGATTGGCAACCAGTGCAAGTGAAGGTATTGTCTGACACACGGCATCTGCCCACGTTTATAGTCTTCCTAGTTTTTCAAGCAGGGGAACATGACATCCCTGACCATGCAACACAACCCCGAACGCCTAAAAGTCTTTTAATAAAATGACTGATTAGGTGGTGGGGACCGAGGCTGTATATGACAGCAGAGTTGTGCCATATGAGGGTACGTCTAAACTACATGGCTCCATCGACAGAGCCATGTAGATTTGTTGTTTTGGCAAAGGCAAATGAAGCCGCGATCATTTAAATCGCGGCTTCATTTAAATTTACATGGCTGCCGCGTTGTGCCGACAAACAGCTGATCAGCTGTTTGTCGGCTCAACGCGGCAGCCATGTAAATTTAAATGAAGCCGCGATCATTTAAATCGCGGCTTCATTTAAATTTACATGGCTGCCGCGTTGTGCCGACAAACAGCTGATCAGCTGTTTGTCGGCTCAACGCGGCAGCCATGTAAATTTAAATGAAGCCGCGATCATTTAAATCGCGGCTTCATTTGCCTTTGCCTATGTGTCTAATCTACATGCCTCTGACGACAGAGGCATGTAGTCCAGACACAGCCAGAGGCTCCTACTGAGTCAGATACATCAGCACTTGCTAAATTGTGAGTAGTTCCACAGGTGTCCATTGAACTATTCTGATACGTAAGGTTAGGCATATGCCAAAGCATCATGCTGTAGAGAGCCTGAGTTAGTCACCTCCTCACCTGCATGCATGCACGCGCACACACAGGTTCCCCCCCCTCCCTTTTTTTAGTCCTCAGAACTGATTTCTAATACCGGGTAAAGCTTTGTACTTGCCTATCAAGTGTATATCACTCGGAGCTCCAATTGTTGAGCTTCTGAGGTAGTCAAACAAACACAACGAACTCTGAGAGCTCCTTACATCCCCATAAATTCATTCAAAACATGAACATTACCACTTCAATCAGCCCACTTCAATGGGTCACCATTATCATCCTGCCCATGAGGTGTGCAAAACATTTATCAGTGTTGCCACTTCATTAACAACACCACTTAATATGACATGTGGCCAACTGCAGGGCTACCTAATGAATCTGTACTTTCTTCTCACAGTGCCATTTCCATGTGGGAGGATTACAGCTCCAGAAGCCAAAAGCAAGTTCACCCGAGCCATGAACACCTTTGCTGGGTGGTATTCAAATTCTTCCAGTGATCCAGATGAAGCACCAGACAATATCACTAAAATCACCCCCATCATTAAGACAGTTACACGTGTTGTTGGTGGAGTGGAAAGCAAGAAGGGTGAAGTTCCTTGGCAGGTACCAGACATCATGTTCCTCTTTGTCCCCTGATAGATCTGATTGCTCTCTCATTTAGTACACATTATCTGTGCTGTAGCAACATATTTTGCCCAGTTCTGGTAACTTGCTAGGTGACAGGGTGATGGCATCTTTATCCAAATGGGACAATCCAACCAGATTTGGCTGCTGGCAAAGTAATACAAGAGCACTCCAAGCATTTCACTGAATGCAGCCAAAGGGAAAGACTTCTTCAATTAAGCCAACTTATGGAAATATGTTAACATTTTGGGGCACAACTTCACAGTGGAGAAGGGAGAGAGCCATGTTTTAATGCTTAAGACTAAATTGCGGGTTGCATTTAGGATTGCCAGCTTTCCCAACCAAACAGACCAGATGCTATTTGTGGCAATAGCATCCAGTCAGGAAAGTTGGCAACAGTAGACTTGTTTTCCATGAGACTGTCACATAGTGAACCAGAATTTACAATTTAAGGTTCTCATCCAATTTGGTCCATGTGGACAGATCCCTGCATCCATTCAGAAACACACAGACATGAGCAAGACCCCATCACTTGCAAGATAAGATCTTAGATATGGGTCGGGGCAGCATTTTGCCTGGTGAGTGCCAGGCACAAATATGGCATCATATAAATAATTATGTTCTTTACCCACCCTCCGTTACCATGTAACACCTATTAGAGAACACAGATTGGGCCAAATCCTCGGTGGATGTCAGTGTACTTCCACTGGCTTCAAAGGCACTACGATAATTGACAAACAGAGAAACTGGTCCTATATATATTTATAGGCGTCCCACCTACTCCATCTGCTTTTTCCTCACCTCAAGTGACAAACAGATATCATGACATCACAGCCATCTCCATCCCACCAACAGGGATGTCAGGAAACAGAAATATTTTAACATCTGACCAGGAAAAAGCAAATAAAGCTCCACCCGCTGACTGCTATGTAAACAGTTATAAAAAACTAGGAGCTGTCCATTATAACATTCAGGAGTCTATCTGGAACACCTGTGAAGGATGGGGAGTTAGAACGTCACGTGGCATCAGACTGGTTTCCTGTTGGCAGGGCTTAGTCCAGGGGTAGGCAATAAAATGGTGGCAGTCCACCAGGATTAGCTCCTGGTAGGCCGTTGCCACTATATTTTCCTGCACTGCTGCAAGTATGGGCGTCACAGCTCCCAGTGGCCTGGAATGGTGATCTGTGGCCAATGGGAGCAGCGATCTCCTGTACCTGCAGTGGCACAGGTGAATACAGTGGTGTGGGGCCTGCCAGGGGCTAACTCTGGCAGATCAGATCCAGCCCGTGGGCCAGTGTTTGCCCAAACCAGCCAGCCTGAAGAGGAATACCTTAAGAGGGGAGGAAGGAAGCTCAGGAATCATCAGAAATTGCCTTCTAGCTTGACGGAAGGTGGGTGATTGCTTTACAGTGTTGATTTTGCATATACCACTTAGCAGTTGCTGTTCCTCACACCATGTCCACTCCCTTAATATACCCCTGATGTTTGCTATCTCTTCGTTACTGGTTCATGTGGTACTCAAGGCTTGGATTTCTCTTTCCATAGGTTCATTTGGAGAATAGTGACGGAGTAGGATTCTGCGGGGGGTCTATTGTCAATGAAAAATGGATAGTAACAGCAGCGCACTGCCTTGTGCTTGGCGGACAGATTACTGTGGTGGCAGGTAAGCAAAAAGAAGAACACAAGCACTTGTGCATAGTCAGGTAGGCATGCTATATAAAATAGGTACTATCCAAATTATGGACATGTTTATCATGGCAAAGCTTCCCCCAAGACTTCACCCTCCTCCCCAAAGCCTAGTTGGGCTACTAGACGTGTGACTGGCATCCATGCTCCAGGAGGATTTGCTTGTGATGTTTGAGGAGACAACGTGTTTTGGTAGATAGGGAACAAAAGTTGTGTTATGGCCTCATTACCACGTTAGCCTACGCTAGCATACATACAAACCATATTAGAATCATGGTGCTCCTCTTCAGGCCAGACAACCGTGCTGTAGTACGGCTAGAATTTTAATGTAACAGTGTCTACTGGCTCTAGAAAACAAAGATGCAGAGCCAGGTCCTCAGGCAATATCAACTGGCTTACCCGCATCACAGTCAAACAGTTTCAACAGAGCAACACCAGTTTACACCAACTAAAAATGTGGCCCAGAGTAAATTAGCAGAGGTGAGCTCAGGTGGCTTCAGTGCGGTCTCCAGGGCTGAGGCGCCCAACAACAAGGCCCTTCAAGGAATGAGCATGGGGGGTGGGGAGTGTCAAACAAAAATCTCTCACTCAGAACATGACAGCAAGTAGCAGTCTTCTCTCAGAAGACCAAGCTGGCTCAAAACGTGAAATACCTGATTAACATGGATCAGGGGTGGACCTACGGGTGGCCCGTGGCCCACTCACTTAGGATCCAAGCCGGGCCTGGAGAATGGAGTCAGAGGC